GTGTGTGTGTGTGTGTGAGAGACAGAGAGAGAGAGAAGGGAAAGAGAGAGGGAGGCAGAGAGGAATTTGCGCCCTGGAGAGAGTTAAGGCCAGGGCAGAGTCTGGAGGCTTACCTGTGGCCAGGCCGTTGGGCTGGAACGGGTTGGTGGAAGGCAGCTGAGGGTGAGCGGCAGGAACTGTGAACGGGTTGGTGAAAGCTGCTCAGGGTGGAATGGGGTAGAGGTGGGAGAGAGGGTTACTCTTTTCTCATCTGGTTAATACTCGGATGACAGCATTCCTCTCAACCTTGCTCCTTCTCCCCTCCCCTCCCTGCAGAGTCCCCAGGTTCCTCTTGGCCTTGGATCTCCTCCCTGGGTCTCCACAGGCAAGACTCACCTCCAAAGGCAAGCCCCGTGCTGCCGCCTCCACCAGCTGTGGCCGACTGGAGCGTGGGGACCTGGCCGGCCACCCCGAAGATGCTGTGATGTGGGAAGAGAAGTCAGCATGCAGGGCAACCGGGATCAAGCGGAGAAGCAATGCAAGGGACCAGGAGACGGCAACCCTGGTCCTGCCCGACAGGAGGAGCCGAGCAGGCTGGGAAAAGCAAGGCTCTGCGGCCCCAAGGCAGATTCCCGGACGTCTGGACGTACCTGCTAGGGATACCTCCAGGTGATGCTCCGGGCGCCAGGAGGCTACCCATATCTGCGACGCTGTTGGGCTGACTGGCAGGTGCGAGAGGAGAGGCCGCAAATGGAGTCACCTGGCTGCTCCCTGGGCAGTCACACGAAACAGAACAGGGAGTGCTGGGGTGAGGCAGTGGGGAAGGGGTAGAAGAAGAGATGGAGGTGGGGGGGGCAGGGGAGACGGAGCAGAGTGATGGCATGAGTGTACCCACTGGGTTCTCTGAGCCCATTTCCCCCTGGGTCGTCCGGTTCCGAGGGCCTTGACTCCCGCCAAGAATTCTAGGTAACATGATACTCAGCCTTTGTCAATCTCCTTAGTGCTCAAAGCTGCTGCTGCTGAGAGAAAGCAGCCTGCCCTGGCGTCGGGTCAGTGTCCCTCCTGCTCTAGTCTGACAGTTCCCATTTTTTCCTCAAGATGTGGAAATGTCTGTCCTTTCCTCAAACCAGCATTTCCATTGATGGATAAATCCTAGGAAGGGGCAGGTAGAGGGAATGGAGGAGGGCAGAACGGCCCAGACACTCGGGAGCCTCTTATGGAAGGTGGAGCCCACACCGGGGCACAGGTAGCTCAGTTCCCACTCCCACCGGAGCTGCCCCCTCTCGGGAGGCCACCCTAAGCCAGGAGCTTAGATCAGGGTTCCTCTGCCCTCTCTGGTCATCACATCTCAAAAGAAAAAGCCCGGAGGGCGAGCCCACGTGGGAGGTGTACGAAACAGCCTGAGGAGCAAGTCCAGGAAATCCCTGTCCTTTGGAGAAAGCTTCTTTATCTGCGTGTCTCAGCCTCATCTCTATGGTGGGATCCAGTCAACCACTCTGGGCTGTTGTGAGGGTAAAATGAAGCTACAAACGGAAAAGGCTTGATTTTTATGAGTGCCGGAAGACTCATACCGAAGGGAAACACACTTTGCGTGGTGTCTGCCACAGGCCAGTGCTCAGACATTGTTTGCTGAATGACTATGTGAGAGGAAGAGTGAGAAGGACTGGACTCCAGTCAGGGCCCTCCCCCTGCTACTGCTGTGACCTGCGCAAACCATCTTACTCTCCTGGGCCCATATTTTTGCTTGCCCTCTCATAGGCTGGCTGTACAACACCGCCCCACCTCGGCTGAGGTAAGTATTTTCAATTAAGTATTCTGCAGTCTGTAAAGCGTGCATAAATGTGAGCTATCATCATAGCCTATGATATAAGAAACTATTTCCGGGGTCAGAGAAACAAGACAAGGAAGGTCTCGAAGGAAAGGTGATGGTTGGCTCAGGTGGTAAACCTAAGTGAACGAGAGCCTCGCCTGGACGCTCAGCTCCAGTCTTCCCACGTGCTCTGCCTTGTGCAGGAGGCCCCACCCACGGTCCTGCCCACCCTTCGGGCTTTAACAGAACCTTCAGATGGGCCTGCCCTGGCCTCAGTCTGCATGAGAGCCTGGTTTTCCTCTCCTAACACCTTGTTCTTCGCCCTCGTGGCACTTGACATCTTTGTAGTGACATATTTTTGTTTTTCTATCAACTGTGTCCCCCTCTGGACCAACTCCCTTGCCGGGTTTCTCACAGATATCAGTTGCAAATGTGCTAAACGTGACACATGCAGGATGATTCACAGCAGCGCTGTTTGTAGGCAAAAGGCTAAATATTCATCATTCGTTCTACATAGTCATCAACTGGGGATGGATTAAATAAATTATAGTATATGCATAAGCAGGACTATTGTGCAGCCATAAAAAAACAATGAGGAAGCACTTCATGTGCTGATTAAAAAAAAAAAAATCTAGCAATACTGTTCAGTTAGAACGTAAATCAACGTACAGAACGGTATGTCTATTATGCCATCAAGTGTGTTTAAAAAAAAAAAAAGAGGGGCGCCTGGGGGGCTCAGTCAGTTAAGCGTCTGCCTTCGGCTCAGGTCATGATCCCAGGGTCCTGGGATGGAGCCCTGCATCAGGTTCCCCACTCGGCGGGAAGCCTGCTTCTCCCTCTCCCGCTCCCCCTGCTTGTGTTCCCTTTCTCGCTGTCTCTCTCTCTGTCAAATAAATAAATAAAATCTTAAAAAAAAAGAGAGAGAGAGACAAAGAGAAAGAAAATAGGATGATAAAAAAGTAAGTGAAGGCCACAGGCTCCTCTTCCCAGGGGCATGGCGATGGAGAGGCGGTAGGACAGCAGCTGAGCGGGGAGTTGGGGGGAGCCGCAGAAACATTTGGAGGCTGGATAACCTGAAGCCTGTTTGTGGGGAAGGGGGAATGTGGTGGCAGAGGTGGACAGAGTGGAGGGGAGACTCAGCTAAGAAAACCCTGTAGAGAGAGAGTGGGAAGGATGAGCAGGTAACTGTCACAAGGGAAGAGAAGATATTCCCCCCCCCCCCCCCCGCCCAGAGATGAGAGGAAGAAGGGCAAGGAAAAGATAAAGACACAAGGCAAGGGACGAATGGCCAAGCCAGGCTGGTTCTCAAATCTGTGTTGCTCCCTGGTCCCCTCAAACTTCAGCCTGGTTTCTCCTAAGTTTGGGGCTTTTATTCTGAAGATCCCGGAACGATCATTTGAAGCTTGATGCTCTTCCTTCCCTAAAGGGTAAGGCTGTATTTATCCAAAGCCCTTTGGTAGGGGGGTCTTCCCGGTGCTAGGCATCTCAGCTCTGACTTGGAGAAGCGGAGTCCAGCAGGGAAGGCAGGTGCCCAGGGCTGGCTGGGCTCCGAGGTTCCAAGGGTGGGCTGCTTCCCGAGTGCCTGTGCTCACGTTGGCCACCCTCCCTCTCAGCCCTTGGCCCTTCTACAGGAACAAGTGCCAGGCTACCACGCCATTGAGCACACTTGGTCTCTGTCCTCTCCACGCCCCAGGCGTCAGGAAGACTGGAAGCCGGCAGCCTAGTGTTGAATCTTCTGATTCTCAGGGGCCCCTGGCCTTTCCTGGGCTATGACTTGGGGTATGTGGAATTTCTGAGTGAACACAGCTCCCTGTCCTCACTTAGGTCAGACTCTTCAGTCCTGCTCTGGGCCTTTCCGTCAGGTCAGGGAGCTCCCAGGCTGTGTGTCTCCTGGCGGACACTAGAGGGCAGAGCCCGCCCTCGCCACAGCGGGGTCGACCCCCGCCCTTTCCACCCTTTCCGCCTTTCTTGGGGAACCTAGGAATACCTACGCTCTTGTTGGTTTCTTCCGCACTTGCAGAGCCCCATTCCCTGCGGCTGGATTGGTATACATGCCTTCTAGCAGTTTCAGGGGAAACTGCAGTTTTAGAAACGTCCCCTCTCCAGGCTCCCCCTCAGAAATACAAAAATACAACCAGGCTTGTCAGAAAAGACACCCACCTCTCACCCAATTCTCCCTACTTCATCCCCAGGAGTTCTTTATATCACACTCGGAGAACCACCCTCTCGTGATCCCGGTGCGGTGGGAAGTGAATGGGAGCTGCCATTCATCAGCCATTCGGGTTTGGCCAAGTCACTGGCCAAGCGGAGCCGGTTTTGTCAACTGCAAAATGGAGATCTTTCCTTCTTCATGGAGAGCATACGAGGATGCTCCTAGCAGTGGCAGGAGCCTCACAAGGGCTGGTTGGCTCTGGCTGGCTACAGAGTCTGCTTTTGGAGATGACCAGACACTGGACAAAAGTTCACCCCAGGTTCGGCCAAGGAGGGCTCCTGACACCTTCCTTCTCTCCTTTAAAGGTTGGCCCTTTAGGCAAGGGATTGTGACAAGCATGCATTTCTCTTTTATTATTGTTTTTTAGATTATTTGAGAGAGAGAGCGTGAGCACAAGTGAGGGGAGGAGCAGAAGGAGAGGGAAAAGCAGACTCCCTGCTGAGCGGGGAGCCTAATGGGTGGCCGGGACCATAACCTGAGCCCAAGGCAGACACTTAACTCACTGAGCCACCCAGGCCCCAACAGGCAAGCATTTCTGACCGGACCAATTTATAACCACCTCGTACAAGCGGCTTCCTTTCAAGCTCTCATTCTGCGGAGCACCTCCCTCTTGCTACACTGGATATTCCTGTGCCAACTTACATTCTTACTGATAGCATGCAAAAGGGCCAGTTTCCCCACACAGTACTGGCCATTACCAATCTTTAAAACTTTTGTGAATACAATGTGTGAAGTTATTATCTTACTCTTAATTTGTGTTTTCTCTGATTAGTCAGGTTGAGAACATTTTCATCATTTTTTTCTGGGTATTAGCTGCTTGTATCCATTGCCTGTTATCCTATTCTGTCTTATTTATAGGGGTTTTAAAAAAACACATGATGGCTATTAGCTTTTTGTCTGTTTTCCATATTGTAATTATCTCTTCCCTGTTTCAGGCCTTCAAGGACAATGAAACATTGTTATGGGACATCTTTTGGGACACCTTTTATCATACAGAATGTGACCTAAGCAATTTCTATTTGTTAGAAATTGATATGGTGTCTCCTGGTCTGTGGTCAAATTATAAAAGGGTTCCGTGTTTGAAAATCCTGTCTTTTGATTACAAAGTTCTACTTAGATATATTAGGTCAAACTTGTTCAAGTGTTACTCAAATGGCCTCTTTTCCTCCTTATTTTTCTATCTACTTTATCTGCTGTTAATCTTGTGAGTCCAGTCTCACCTCCTCTCTGTTGCTGTTACATTTGCATTGTGCCTAACAGTTTTTGCTTTATGACTTTCAAGGCTACCCTGTCGGGTACTTGAAGTTGGTAACGTGAGAACTTTTTTGTGAATTTTAACTTTTATCAGTATAAAATGTCCCTCCTTGTCCCGTTCAAAAAAAAGAAAAATAAAATAAAAAGGAAAGCACGCAGACAGTTCGCGGTGGCACAGCAGGAAGGCTGTGGGCCGAGCGAGAGTCGGGGAATCTGGGCTCTGGGCCGAGCTCTGCCACGCTGTGGGTTGCACGACAGGGAAACTGCCTAACTGTTGGGAGATGGCTACATTTGAAGGGTTCCTTCCAGACCTCAAAGCTCTCGGCTCAGAGGACCTGAGATAGGCTTCTACGTTGGGTGGGCTGTGGAGTCGGAAGAATAACTCACCAAAGCTGTAACTTCCAGTTAGCATCCGACTGGCTGGCAGTGAGGGTGGAGAAGGGGAAGGGTGTGGGGGGGCGGGGAGGAAGAAAGAGAGAGCGTGTAAGTCACTGGCTTTCCCCAGACATCGGGTCTTTAGGGCACTCGGGCTGCCCTCCCGTGTGTCCAGGACGGGCAAAGGTAGAGGACCAGCCCCAAGGCTGTGAAGACTTGATGTCTGGGGACTCAGGGAGGAACTAGATGCTTTACGGCAGCGGCCTTTAGGGTCTCCTTTTTGCGGGGGAGGTTGTCTCAATTGCTAAACAACACAACACTGAGTTTACAGTGTTCTGCTCTAACAGGGGTGAGTGAGGACTTCCAGAGACTATCTTGGACTCTGACCCAGCCCTCGGCCTTTGGGCAGTGCACAACGCGGACCATCAGAGCACTCCAGAGGAAAGGTCACGTCCACTCTTGATTTTTCGAGTCCTGGGGTCTCCCCAACTTGCCGGTCAGAGATCTCCTATGCACACCCTGCACAACTCCTGCTGCAATTGAGCTGTTTTCCTTCCATGACAAAATGGAGCAGGAGGCCGCCTCTTCCTGCCAAGAATCTCCTCAGACCCCTCTCTCCCTTGCCCGGGCCTGCTTCTCTTCCTTCTCTGTCTCCTTTGCCCAGCTCTCTAGGTTGGTGCAGATGTGAATGAAGGGCGATGTATGGACGTGGGAAACTGAACGCAGCTGGGAGAGAGAAGGGGAGCAGAAGAGAGCAGGGCAGACTTTACCTGTGGGTGTTGGCTGGGCCTGGAACGGGCCTTGGCCAGCTGGAGGAATGCTTCCAAATGCAGAGGAGCTGGGGCTACTGCCAAAGGCATCGAAGTTGGCAAATCCTCCATGGGAAGGTGTCTGGCCTACAGGTGGAGGGAATGCAAAGGTCAAATATATAAAATGGACATATAATTGATATAATATGCACTAATTCTGAAGGCCAAAGGCCACTGATGGGACACTGCCTTTCCACAGGGTCCTGTTCAGGGAGAGATGGCAGGGGCCTGAGCAGAAGGCCAGACACCCGCTGGGGGACAGGGAGTGTCAGAGGCCTCCAAGTTCACTCCCCACCATCTTTTATCCTTACTCCATGAGGAATTTGCATTTTTGCAAATGGGCCTACTTTGGGCTGAATCATGTGGGGAAAAAAAAAAAGTTGTTTTTGGTGGGGGAAGGGGCTTAAAAGGAAACTAGATACCATTTTATTCAACTGCTGATCTTTGGGAGGAGAGCAGGGGAAATGGAACACATGACAAGCCCCCACCCCCATTTTAACGGAAAAAGAAGGTAATAAAAAGGCAATTTCCAGTGTTCTGAAAGGAAGTGTGGATAGTCCCTGACTGTAATGTTTTCTGGTCAAATTTGCAGACATAATCCGGGCTGCTCTCATTTGACCCCAGCCCTTCCAACCTTGATGCTTCAGGATTATCATCACATTCATTTGTGGGATGGGAGCTAGAGACGGCGGGGGGTTGGAACTGGTCACCCCAAGGGCGTGAATGGCCTTCTGTCAGGGGTAATACATCGTGGAATGTTCTCCTCCCAGGTCCTACTTACCCCCAAAGGCTGGGAATGCAGCGAAAGCTGGTGCCACCTGGGGAGCGGCAAAGGGGTCTCCACCTATGTCGGCCAGCAGGTCAGTACTGGCTTTCTTGACTGAGGAGTGGGGAGGTGGCTGAGAGCTCCGGGGCTGGGACGTCCGAGGCTGAGACTGACTGACAGACTTGAGAGGAGAAGGCATGACATAGAGCACCTGGAGTCCCAGACATGACCCGGCCCCTGCATGGCTCCCTAGGCTGCCCCCAGATAGGCAAGGGGAGAGAGAAGAGAGGGAGAAACTGCCCTCAACTGAGAGATTTCCTGGGCAGCAGCTGCCTGAGCCCCTCTCATACCTAACTTCTCTGTCTTCTCAGCACACCATCTCCCAGAAGCAGACATTTTAGAGCCCGTGGGTGAAAGTAACCCTGAGCTACAAGGGATATTGCCAAGAGCCCCCCGCTCCCGAGCTGTTACTTCCTCATCTTTCCCGGGTGCCAGAGGCAGTGTCCGGGCCCCTCCTGCGTTTCCTTGAAGCAATGTTCAGGTTTGAAGTCGATACTCCGACTTCCCTAAATACCACTTCCTGTTGGGTTCTTTCTTCCAAAAAGATAGGAGGCCAAGGTGAGTCCAAGACATAGGTAACAGCAGGGCCGAGAACCAACTCACACCAGCCATACTGTCGTCTGCTAAGTACGGGGCGTTGGATTTAGGAAACTGACATCCCTGTCTCCCAAATCCCCAACTAGTCTCTAAGGGCAGGTCTGAGAGTTACCTGGCTAGAGGTGGAGGCAGCAGCTGAGAGAGACGGCACAGGATCCCCCAGAAGAGTCCGCAGGGGCTTCCCTTCCGGGACGGAGCCCTGGATGGGGGTGGAGGCACTGCCTTTGGTATAAGCGGGCCCCTTGACTTGGTCTGGGGGGACATACCTTTGAGAAAGAATAGTCAGGCTGAAAAGAGGGGGTAACACCGTGGGCCGTGCTCAGTGTAGGCACCTGGGAAGCACAGGTGACGGCAGTCCGGGTCCCTTGGACTTTGCCCACTGATTCTCTTTTTTGAACTAAAGGGAATTTTGTAACTCAGCAAAGCTCTGCCCATCTTGAGCATCCCCTTTACTGTCAGATGCTCGTTCTTTTCTGCGGGAATGTTCACGTCGCTCTGACTTGGGCCTGTTTTTCTCTCCTCTCTCCGACATCAACCCATTTCAAGTAATAACCCATCAATAATGCTGCTGGACAGGTGATCCTATTTTCCAACTTCCTTTTCCTTTTCTAGGTGTTTCTGCAGGTTTCTCCTTTCTCCACAGAAAGTTTCTGCCACCTCCTCTTCTAAGTGCTCACAGTCTATCCTGTCAGCTTCTGCGACTTTTGATAAAATGCCCTCCACTCCAGTGTATGTATGTGGTCCCTACTCCAGAAGTATTCTCTTTTTCTGAGGGACACCCCCAGGAAGGGCTCCAAAATGCTGTTTTGTCCACATCGATCTCCTTGCTGTCTGCATTCTCTTCTCTAGCCTAGAGCTACCCACCCCCCAACATGCACACACCCCTGAGATCAAGCCATAGAAAGTGCCACCTGGGGAGAGAAAAGGCAAGGGAGAGCAGAGATGCTGTTCTCGTCATCAGGAAAAGAGAACACACATAAATCGTGGAAAAACGATGGGTTAAAAGCACAGAGCTCTGGGACATGTGCTTCCAGCTGCCTGCCTCTCTGCATGTATCGGCCCAGCTGAGCTTTGACCTGCCCCACGCTCCCACAGGCCCAACCCCTCTCCAAGTAGTCTAATTTCTCTCCAAAAGAACGGCATCAAATCTGCAGGGTTAGTGACTGGGAGTAAGTCCTTTTGGTAGTTTTATAATTCTGAAGTCAGAATTGAGCCCTAACTGAATCTGGGTAGAATCCATTCAACCCAAGTCTGGCCTTTGAGAAAAGCCCCAATTCAAGTCTAGACACTGGACTGTCAGATGAAGAATGTTTTGGGACATGGGTCTCCGTAGCAATCTCTTTCCTCCTCCTTACCATCTCTTTTTCTCATATTTTTCCTGGAGAAACTCCTTCACTTTCTGAGGATCCCTGGAATCCGGTATTAAAGATGTCCGAGCATCAAAAAGACCCAGCCAAATCTTCCTGCAAACCTAAAGGAATGGAATCAGGTAACAGAGGAGTTCAGACAGAAAGCATGGGATGGGAATGATACCACTTCCAGTTTATTCGTCAATACATATTTACTGAGCAGAGACACAGCTGAGGGTCTGGGTATACCTACAAAGCAGACACAGTCCCTGGCTTCACAGAGTTGACCATCTAATGGGGAGGCCGTGCCTTAGGTAAGTAAAAATAGATTTATAAGTACATATTATGAATCAACTTAGAAAAGAGAGGGCCATGAGAATTATGGGGAACTAAATCTCTATGGGGGTGGGGTCAGGGACAATTGTAAGAGCTGTGTCTTCCAGAACACCCTCCAGAGGCCTTCCTTCATTGGCGCCCTCCAAGTAAGCCAATTCCTGCAAGCTAGGAGGACTGCTAACACCAAGGACAGCGTCCTTCCACCGCCCGCAGATTTAGCTGGGGAAGGGGTTTAACCCACGTTTGCGTACATGGCATGGGCTTAATCCCACGGTGCTGAGGGTCGGGTGGGTAGAGCTGGCTCCAGGAGATTTTACTCCTGAGGCGCCAGCCCAGTCAACTCTGAATGCTAGCAATGTGGAGCTCTAACTGTCAAGGGGCAGTCTTCCTTGTGAGTGCCCAGGAGTCACCCACTGCAGAGATTTTGCTCCTTCCCCTCATTCCTCTAACAAAGGCCTAGACAAACCACAATTTGTATAAATAAGATTCCGCAGATATACAAATATACATAAGACAAGATATGCTATATATTAAAAAAATAAAAGAAACTCGACCAAAAAAGAAAGCTGTAGGGTTTTTCTATAGTCTTGAGGCAAAGCTCCCCCGGCCAATAGGGCAACTACAGCCAGTAGCCATTCCATGGGTGGTGGCTCACCTCGTTTCCACGGGATTGCAGGAATACTACTTCAGGCTCAGTGAAAGTTGTCATGGAGATAGACTTGACGCGATGAGGGGGGTTCAGGCCTCTCCTGTGGGAGAGAAACAGGAAGAGAAGTACAAGGCAGTTAGCACCGCAGGTCTGTTTACGGGAGGAGGGGGAGGGAGAAAGGATAAAACAACACAGAAATTAAGCTCAGGTAGAATTCCCTGACTGAAGCTACTTCTTAATTCAAGGAAAGAAGGGAAGCGAGAATGTCTTGGAGGCTTTTTTTTTTTTTTTAAGATTTTATTTATTTATTTGAGAGAGAGACAGCGAGAGAGGGAACACAAGCAGGGGGAGTGGGAGAGGGAGAAGCAGGCTTCCCACTGAGCGGGGAGCCCGATGCAGGGCTCGATCCCAGGACCCTGAGACCATGACCTGAGCCGAAGGCAGACGCTTAACGACTGAGCCACCTAGGCGCCCAGCCCCTGGAGGCTTTTAATGAGACTCAAGAATGTGTCGTGTTCCCTGTCATTCTCGAGAGGAAGGCAGAGCCTGCCCATCCAGAAGCCTTCTCGCCCTTGCCTCAGTTCCGTGTTCAGCCTGCAGGCTGGGGGGTACTTCCGGGAACTCAAGAGATGTGCCCACTTGCCATTTCCTATTTTACCACTGTTTGACACCTGCCTGCCCCTCTTCGTCTTGACAGAAGGTGTGGTGGTAGGGATGGAGAGGGCCCCTCTCTTTCAGGAAGAGATCTCTGGGAAAAGAGATAATCCAGGTTTTCTCAGCTCTAGATCTTTTGAGGAAGCAGGAGGAAGTCAGGCTCAACAATGAATCTGAGATTGGCATGAGTCAGGAACATCTATCCTGACCAGCTCTGTGTGTTGTTAACTCTCTGGGAGTCTAGTTGTGCCCACAGAAGCCCCGTGGAGATTACAGTAGACAAGAAGGCTTCCTTGCCCCCACTCGGCTGCTCTCTGGAGTGTTCTCACAAGGGAAACCTGGCGCTAAGCCAGGTTCCCCTTTCCTTTTCCCTTAAGTTTTACTCTGGTCTAGACCAACTGCACTCATCGGATGAAAACAAAACTGGCCAAACCACAACGAATAAACGAGCGCCTGGGACCAGCACGTGCAAGAGTGTATAGGCATATGCAGGAAAGACAGTCTCAGCTGATGAGGCTCTTCAGACTTTTATGCCCCTGAAAAAAAAAAGGGCAAATCAAGATATGAAAATAAAAGTAACTCCAGAAGAAGAGGGTCCTGGTTGATGCCATCAGGAAAGCAAAGAAGGAAGGCGGAGATCACAGTTTACCAAATGGAAACCCTAGAGAAAATTCAGGCTTACAGGTGCACCCACAAAATGAAGGTGTCCCTGCGAGTCTAGAAGAACGGCAGTGTCGCGTTAGTGTACGTGCCCGTGCACGCCACGGCAGTGGGGGCGAGGGAGGGGGACAGGTGCCACAGCACAGCGTGAACAGTGAAGAGCGGCAGCCCCTTTAGATGACAAATGACCAATTGTGGGATTCTAACAAAGGACAGGACACCAAAGGCTACAATTGAAGGCATTGTCAGCAATTCTGCCGCTAGCCTTTTAAGTAAAGGGTCTCCAAACACTCCTTTAAAAGACAGTATCAAAGACGACTGATGCCCCAAGGAAAGATTAGAGCAGTGAAATCCAAAAGCAAGGCTTTGTAACTACATGGCAAACAACAGCTCCTAAACCTGATCTGCCCTGAAGACTCTCTTCTAATCGCATTTCAGAGATATTCCAGTTTTCTCTCCTAAAGCCTCTCTTACTAATGGCCTTGTTTTGTTTTGAAGTCCAGACAGCCTTTTATATTCTTTCCCTAGATCTTGCTCACCTTAATCCCTAGGCCCTTCCCCCTCAAAAGGCCAGGCCTTCCGAGGTCTAGAGCCGACCTCTCTGTCTCTATGACCCCAGTCCTTATCTTCACCTCCCGCGAACAAATGGTTCCTTTACCAAAATACAAGGCATGATGGTAGGCACTTTGGGGGATACAACAGACAGTTGCTTATCACTCCGTATCATATATATCACTTGTCATGTAGGACCTAGTTCTTGATCACCCGGTGATTTCTTACAATGACCCCAGGAGCCTGGACAAAGATAATTGCCCGCACAGTTGGGTGCCATGTAGGCACACACAGAGCCGGATCAGGGAGAATGTGGCACCAGGATGCAGCAGTGGGGGAAGGAAGAGACATGGTCATGGCAAACGTAAAATGTATTATGTTGACACTAGAAAAACAGATTCAAAGTCTATCGTAAAAAGGGCATTGACATTTCCTGACGGGACAACCAGGAACTGTGAGCAAAGTGTAAACAAGGAGGTGTGCTTCCTCGTAGGGGGAGGGGGAGGGACTTGACCCACTCATCAGTCTAGAGGGGATGATTAGAACAACAGAACTTTCTATGGCTGGGCTTGGTTGGACTGGAGGGGTTTTTTTGGGGGGTGGGGAGGGGGTGTGGAAGATAGGATGAAGGGAAAGCAGAGAAAATAAGTGATTTAGGTGCTTTGGGACAAATGAATCTGAGGGAACAGGATGTTTCCATAGCACAGTACAAAAAGCATTGCTCTGACCTTGATGTCTGTAGACTGGATTATGTATAACTAGAGCCACAGTTTGGGGGCAGGGAAAATTCTCTACAAGGCAACATTCTGCAGCCCAGGAAGAGGACCTAGTTACATGGCCTATGAGTCAGAGCGTTTTGTTTCTGAATCAGAGAGAGGCCACTGCTGGCTGACAGGAGC